GGTAAGAGCCAAGCAACCAGGAGCCTACTGAGAGAGCTGATCCACTTCCACCCAAACCCAGGGCAGAGGGCAGAGAGCAGAGGCCAGAAAGTATTAGATTTGCTTGCACCCACCAAAAGGGAATCCTAGTCACCTACCCACCAGGAGAGGAAGAGACTGTTTCTACACCCACTGGAAGAAGTGATGGGGAAAGGCAATATAAGAACACACTCAGAAACAGAAAAACAAATAAGACTCCACCAGAGTCAAGAGATTCTACACCAGTAAGACCTAAACACTTCAATGTGGAAGAAGCAGAAGGGAATGACCTTAAAAACACCTTCATGAAAATGATAGAGACCCTCAAAGAGGATGTTAGAAAATCCCTTAAAGAAATGGAAGAAAAAACAAACAACAAATGCAAGAGATAGAAGAAAAAACAAACCAAAAATTCCAAAAAATGGAAGAAAGGGAAGAAAACATGAAGCAAAAATTACAAGAAACAATTCAAACCATGCAAAAACTGAAAGCTGGCATGGAGACAAAAAAAACACAGTCTGAAGGAATGCTAGAAATAGAAAAACTGGGGAAATGGACAGGTACTACAGACGGAAGCATAACCAACAGAATACAAGAGATGGAAGAGAGAATTTCAGGTGCTGAAGACACACTAGGAGAAATAGATTCATCAATCAAAGAAAATCTGAAGTCCAAAAAAAATCCCTGATACAAAATATCCAGGAAATATTGGACACTGTGAAAAGACCAAACCTAAGAATAATAGGCTTAGAAGAAGGTGAAGAAACCCAACTCAAAGGGGCAGAAATCATATTCAACAAAATCATAGAAGAAAACTTTCCCAACCTAAAGAAAGACATGCCAATGAAGATACAAGAAGCTTACAGAACACCAAATAGAGTGGACCACAAAAAAGTCCCCTTGCCACACTGAGTCTGCATTCTAGTTATTAGCTCACACAGCCACTCAGTATCATGTGAGAAAGCGCATGACATTTTAAAGTCAAGCTCATTCATGAAGTAAAGAAAAATGTACAGGAAGAATAGTTATGACATGAATTTTAGTTTAATATTTTAAAATCTTATTTCAAATGTAGTGGATTGTTAATTTCAAGTCAGCTATGATATTTAGCCACAGACATCTTCAATTCTATTACTCATAATTTAATAACTATTAAACAGTCAAAATATAATACACAAAGTCATAAATAATGTAAATGTTTCTACTTAATGGCAGCCAGGAAACTAATACTGAATATACTATTGCCAGGTTAGACAGACAGCTATAGATACTTAATATGAAAAACAAAATTTAGCCTTCATCTTTTATTTTATTGTTTGTTTCATGTAAAGTAGATAAAAGATCTTTTTCACAAATGAGAAAAATGTCTCAAATATTTTCATTTTCGTTTTTTTCCTTAGTTTTTATGCTTTTTCTTTCTTAATTTTTATGTCTAATCATAAACTTAACTACAATCCAGATAGATTTGGAGTGGATTGAGAAAGATATGACACCCAAAAAACTTCAGTGAAAGCAGAAATTACAGGTTACTTCAAGCAGATGGGTTGGAAATGCTTTGCTAAGTCACAGAAGAAATTATCTGGTGAGTAAGATGACCACAAGTCAAAAGAATTAGAGTTGTCGGCAGTCAGAAATGGTGATCATTTTGCTGGGCTTGCCATTCCTGGACCCAAAGTGTTCCATGGCTTCCAAATACTCATGATTCCTTTAATCTTCCCGAAGTTGGCCATCCAACCACTCAGTCTTGGCAGTGCAGATAAAAAACTGGGAACCATTTGTTTGGTCCAACATTAGCAATGAACAAATGTGCTTTCCAGAACCTGTATGCTTCAGGATGAAGTTCTCATCCTTAAATTTCTCCCTATAGATGGACCAGCCACTAGTGTCATTATGGCATATGAAGTCACCATCCTGGCCAAAATAAATCTGTGAAAGGAAGAACCCTTATATTCAAATCTGAAGATGGAAAACGAGCCACGCCAAGGATACCCGGAAGTGGGTAGTACGATACTTTATTTGAGAGAAAGAAGTAGCTTACAAGAGAAGCTGGGAACTGAGCAGGCTCTCTCTGTTGGTCTCTGTTGCGCCCCTTTCCTTTTCCTTCCGTCTCTTCCTCCTCAAGTACCTATGACCATGCCCAAATGTGAGTGGTCAATGTTGCAGATACGTGAGATCTCTCCCAACACAAATCCTTCCTCTCCAGTGCTCAGAGCATGAACATTTTCTGCTGTCTTTGGAACGCTGTCTACAGATGCGGCCCTAGGGCTCACCAACAGCTGCAGTGTCGATGGAGTTGACCATCGCTGCAGTAAGGAGCTCAGGCAACAGCATCATCTGCAAAGCCCATATTTGCACTTTCTATGAATAGTTTGAATTTAAAAATATGTAAACACACATATGTTAGTATCATTTACACCTTAAATCATTTTCAGTTAATGCAAATTTTTCTACATAATGAGACTATATTATGCTACATTAGAAAAGCTATTATTCTCAAACATTTATGTTTCTATCTTGATATTACTATACTATAAATTTTTTATGATATGACTTATTACACACAGTTTTTTATTGCAATTATTCCTCAGGATAAAATGTTTCATCAGGAAAAACTCTGAAGTTTCTCACCTCTATGTCTTCTATTTCTCTAGACAAATATTCCACACTAACTTTTATGGTCATATTTCCATATTAATATCAAGAATAATATCACTCCTTCTACCAGAAGAAACAATTCACACAATCAACTCTTGAAGAACTTCAATTTGTTGAAAGACAATTTCTAATAATTATATTTGGTACTTTATTATCAATGTAGTTTTAACCCCCATAAAAATGAGAAGTTAAATTTTATGGAAATGTTATACATAAATTAATTATATATCAGTTTAGTTAATTTATAGCAATTATGGAATTCAAAGGTGAGTATATCAAACATTCTTCTCATTTTATGAAAATATTGAAGACACTAAACACAATCTTCCCTGGATAAAGCTTTATGTACTTGTAAATACATCTGTGTGTGGATTTCTATGGATGTGTGTGTGTTTTTGTGAGTAAAATAAGTTATTCCTAGAAAGCCTCAAATCTTACTTCTACACAACCATTTACCCTTGTAAATGACAAACACAGGTACTGGTAAAGGTTTTGTGATTCCCAGAAGTAAACTGAACAAGGACAAATGACGCCAAGGAGTATGCTAAAATGGACATGGAAAGTCCAGGGGACCTCAACCCTACAAAATGAGCTGCAGGCAACTGAGAAAAGCTGTGAGTGGCAGAAGTAGTCATTCTGTGGGAAAAGCCCAGCAATTAGTTGTCTACTTCCAAATCAACCTTGAAAACATATATACAAGTAACATTACATAGATTTAGCAGGTCGTATTTTGTGATATATGTATATGTAAATACATATGAGCATGTATTTGACTGAATATTAAAATGATTTTAAATACAGAGTAATCAAAACTTGACTATAAAAGAGGATATGAATTTGAAGGAGAGTGGGGAAGGGTATATAAGAGGGTTTGGAGGAAAGGAGAAATATTATAATTAAATCACAACTCAAAATAATCCAAAAAAGCAATTACCAAACAAAAATATTTCAAATTAGAAATCACAGAAAACTTTAGTAATGAATGAATCACAGTCTCTTATGACACAGTTATTATGGGCTGGAACATTTCAATTTAACCTATTCTTAAATATTTATAATTGAATTAATTTTTTACATTTTGCAAATTTCCTATTTAATGGCACTTAGAAGTAAGTTCCTTCCAAAAATTTTAATTTTATTATACAGAGCCTTCCAATATTGGCCTCTTACTATTTTAGGCTAACCAAAAGAGGTATGTTTGGTTGCTTTTTGTTTGTTAAATGTGTTACATAATATTTTATTAATAGTTTTTCTTTATTTTTAATTATGTCATATATACATACAATGAAATGGGATCATATCTACCTGCAATTTTTTTCCTTGATTCCCCAAATAATACTTTCCAACAGTTTGTATTTCCAACTTCATTATCTTTTTTAACCCACCACATCTAACTAGTGTTGCCAATGTGTGCACGTATTCAAGGACATCCTCTGGTACGTAGGAAACCTACCAGTGGCCACATCCACAAGAAGGAATGGTTTTCCTTTGCACACAAATCACCCACCCATAGTTTCTGAGTTAGCAGAAGCTCTTTCATATATGCCGCAAGTTGGGTTGGCTGTAATGTACGCATCTCATAAAGGCAGCCAAAAAACTAGAAGGGAGCCTCGGAGAGGGGATGGGGGAACACATTAAGAGAGGAGTGTGCGACATAAGTGGGAAGGTGGAATTCTAGAGGTGGATTTCATAAGGCAAGGAGAGGCACGGAAGTACAGGTGAATTCTGGGCGACAGGCAGAGGGCTAACCCAAAAGAAGGCTTGTGAAAAGCCGTATGGAAGCCTACTAGGTCACAATGTGGTCAAACATGTAATTGGCGGAGTAGAGGAGCACATGAGACAGCCAAGAGGAGGTGGGAAGACTGCAGTAGTCGGACTAAGAAGGAAAGGATGGGTGCAGGACACATGGCGATGAGTAGATGGGTTGACTAAAACTAAGGATGCATGTAAAAGGTTTACTCAAACTCACTATTTGGTTAGATAATTTCAAATTATAACTGTAAAGAAAAGAGTTTATATGTAATACCCTGCCCTGCATGGGTATACAATGGTACTGTCAGAATATGTGGATTATAGAGTTAAAAGTAAGTGTAAGGCACTAGATACCATGGTGAGGGAGGACTCCAAAAACAAGTTATCTTTTCTTTAGAAAAATATCACAACTGATTTCAGTAATGAAGATTTTATTAATATTAATTTAATATTTAAGAATACTGTTTGATGCAACTGTGCTCAAATTTTCTTGTATATGGACAATCACCAGTGGCCACATGAGACGCAACAGTAGAGAGAGAAACAGCACAATGTCTTAATGGGTCTCAGCTCACCTCTTAAGATTGACAGATGTGCTTCCAAGAGCTGCATTTCCCCAACACTTCCATTTTCTTGATTTGCATTTGAACCCTTGTACCTTTGGTCTGCTGAGAAAAACAATGAAATAGGCTGTTTTGCTTTACTAAAAGTCTTACATAAATCCTTCTTCCTAAAACAGATTTTATTTTTTAAAAAAGTCCCAGAGAAGATATTAAAGCTTGATCTCTTTTAATTATTATGTTTAGATTATATTACAGTTACAACATTTGTTCCTTTCTTTTTCTCCCTCACTGCCTCCCATACACACCTCCCACTCTCCTTCATGGTCACAGTCCCCTTTTTTCGTTAATTGTTTTGCATATGTGTGGACTGAGCACTATAAACAAGTTACAAAATAAAATTTCAGATGGTTTAACAGAGTGAATCATAAGTTAAAGAGAAACTCAAACCAGATGCAGTGGCACATGCCTGCAATTTCAGCACTGGGGAAATGAGGCAGGAGGAGCTGATGTTCTAGGACAGTCCAGGTGTTATTATAAAGAAAAGACAAGGAGAAAGGGGAAAAGAAAATAAGAAAAAAAGTAGAGAACGTCAAGGGGAATTTAAAAAAATACAAAAATTGGTTTAGCTGCAAAAAATTATGCTAATCATTTAGATAACTAAATGAATTAAAAGACATGACACACAGAATTCAAAAAATACATATTGGATACTGTCATTGTAATAGTAATATTTGTTAATACTCATGTATGAACAAGTTCTGCATATATAGGACTATTAAACCATTTTATTTGGCCAAGATTTTGATGTTACAAATTATTGTATTCAAATCCAAAACTAAACTAGGCAGCTGAATGAGTTCAAGTCCTGATTTCCCAGCTGGGTTAAAGGTTGAAGTGTTCATTCAGATACAATGACTTTGATGCTTTCTTAATTTTTTCATCTAATTAATTAAAGTATTAGTGACACAACTTCAATGCATAAGTGAAGAATCATTACTTAATATGAATAAGATATTCCAAAATATTTTAAGAGCCCTACTATTCTCAAAGGAAACATTTTTCTAGTTTTCACCACATTTTATTAGATTCTCTGCTTTCTCTATTTTTTAAACTCAACTTGCCAGGGAAGTAGCATTTTAAATTTTAATATTAAGGTGTCCACATCTCTTCCTGACTACCAGAGTTCAGAATGAAACACAAATGTACATCTATTTGAACCTAAGTAAGTGATGTTGGAGTGAATAGAAGCAGCTTTTACCATAGGTGAGTAAATAAGAGATACAACAGTGTTATTACTGAAGCTAAGAACTTGGTCAAAGGCCAGCAATGTTTTATTTTGTTAGTGAAAGAGAAAAATATTCTATTTACTGTTATTATGCACAATCATAATACAGTGGTCAAGAGTTCACTGGTGAGTGAGAGAATTAAATTTGAGGACATAGGAACAGTTTTCTCTCTATATAAGACATAGACTTAGGGACTTATACAGGAAAGTATATTTCCACAAGCATAGCAATTGGATTAACTCATGTTTCTTTTATTGAGTTTTTTATTTTGAATGGAATTCTTTATCATCTGGTTCCTTCAGCCTTTCACAATAGAACCTTCCTGTTTCCTGCTGGATTTCAGCATAGGCGATAGTGTTAACTTAAATGTATTTAAATTGACTGTCAAAACATGGCTTGGTAAAAATCCATTAAAATAATCTTCCAAATGCCCTGATGCATTAAACATTTTTATGGTACACCCATATTGCAGGCAGGGAATGTGTTTATCTGCATTTTATGAATAGTCCTCAGTGGAAGAAAAAGAGCCCAGAAATTGACAGCTGGTCCAGACAGAATTCCCACAGAGTGAGTGTGTGCTTGCACAGAGCCTTTGTCTGTTTGTATGGATAATAATATGGTTCCTTAATTAGTTCTGGAAGGCATCTATTGGAGACTGAATGTTATCTGGCAAACACTCAAAAGATGCAAGTTTACAATTTATTTTTCTCTCTAGTACAATATTCCTTAAGAAATGAATTTAAAACACTAGAAAAAACTATTCTCTTCATAAAACATGAAAGTACTGCAACAATCAAATATCTTTAGCTATTCTGTTTAAATAAATTTAGATTTTGAAGTCTCAAGTATGTATAACTTAGAATAGGTATGAAATATCTAATATACAAATTAAAAGGCACCAACAAAACCAAGATAACAGATCTACTCATAGCTTAAGCTTATATAATTAACCCTCTAAAATGCCTATTTATATATTATTAATTACTCTCTTCATCATTATGAATATTTTCACACAATATAATTCCCATCTCTAATATCTGCTGTAAAAATTGTTGGAATAATTTTCAATGATCACTAGCTTTATTAGCATAATTTACTAGCACTAACCAATAAAAATTTATTATTTTTAGTACCAGTAATCTCCACATGTGTAAAGGCACAAAATTTACTATACATATTATGCAAAATGTTTTTAACATTTATATAATATTATATATAAATATATAATTAATATATATATATATATATATATATACTCTTATGAGGTTCAGAATTTACAAAAGTTAATAGGGACTCTGCCATCAATGAGCCTAGAGTACATGGCCATGGAAGTAAATACCTATGTGGCAGTTATTTTACAAAAATGGACATCATTGACGGTTATAGTCTAGGGGGTAGGAAATTTTTACTTGCCAATAGTTAAACCTTGTACTGAACAGAATTTACAGAACAGATGGAGAGCATTCAGGTTCACTGTCTTACACAAAGGGGGAGAGAGTAACTAGGTATCTGAGGCAGGCACAGGAAGTACCTAAAAATGGAACAGAGTCATGAAAAGACCTCAAGTGTCAGTGTGTAAAGCACTGGATGTGCATTCAGTGAAGAAAAAAAATCATGACTTGTAAGACAGAAAATATTTGAAAATTGCCTAATCAATAGTGATTAGAAGTGTCGTTTGATTGGGCAAACTGTAAAATAAATTCATTGTTCATCAGTCAGTTTTCCTTGCATAAATTTCTTAAAATGTGTGAATGACATGATTAGCAACTACATGAATAAGCTGAGGGAAGCCACATTAAAACGTGGAAATGTGTACGAATAGTATCATCATACAATGAGTTCTGAAGCAAAACCACGAGCACCACCCAAAATGCGCAGTGATTGCAGAAGATGATTGCAAATTTTAAATATAACGCTAGCAATTTTCCATGGGGGAAAAATTAGTGAAGTGAAATCTAGTGAGTGATCACTTGTAGGCAAAGTGGCACTGGTCTCTCCAATTACAAAGTACATCATGCGTTGTTCCTAAGCACGTGGATTCATAACTCAGGGGCACAGGCTCTGAAATTTTGGGTGCGTCTCTGAGTAGAGGCATTGTGTTCTACACCGCTTTCATGGTCAGTAACTATCACTAGTTTCATGCTTTCTAATGAGGTAAATTTTCTACAAACTTTACATGAATCAACTTTGTGCAATTTCAAGAGCATCAAAAATTCTACTCCAAAGAAAACTCTTCAAGATTTGCATCATGAACTGATATAATTACTTAATTTTGTATACTTACTGAAAAGTAGTTGCTACCTGAGAAGTCTGATAATAGCTAATTTAACTCACTATACTTTAAAATCATAGACTGTGTACTGAAAGAGTTTGAGAAAAAAATATAGGAATTTTCAAGCATCGTGTTTCACCAAGGGCCTCCAATGGGAGGTAGGCCCACAAAGTATTTGAGAAAAAAAAAAGCTTCAGTGATTAAAAAAAAATCAGGAGGCTACCCTGTGTAATATTTTCTTTCAGGTAGTTTAGCTTACTTTTAATTGTCAACTTTCCACAACTTAGAATTGCCTATGAAGAGGTTCTTGAGTAACCGTTTTTATCAGGTTAGTCTGTGTGATTGTCTAATTGAAATTATACTGATTGCTAATTGCTGTAGGTAGACCCAGGACATTGCAAACAACAGCACTCCCTAGGTAGGGAGTCCTGCTTATATAGGACTCCACTGGACAGAAGGAAAACAGCTGAAGCATGTGTATACCTGTTCCTTTCTGTTTTGACAGTAGATAGAAGGTCATCTTCAAGCTCCTGTGTTGACTTCTCTAATATCATCTACTGTTACTGTAGAAGGTCAAGCTGACATAAGCTGTTTCCTTGCCTGAATTACTGCCGGTCAGGGTGTCTTATGACCACAACAATAAATAGAACAATAACAGGTAGTAAATATGTATCACTGAGATGGCAACTAGAAAACACCATAACCTTCATTTTCTTTAAAGCCACATTTAAAAATTATGTGTGGAGAATGTCCTTCAATTTACATAAGTAATTCAGAAACATTACAATGCAGACATGGCTTATAGTCTATATTGTAAAGAAATGAAGCCTCTTGCGATGGTTAGAGTCAGGATTTGTATTCTGGCAGTTCATCATGAGCTCTGTTGTTTGGACACTAATATTGATTTTCTGAAACATTGGTTTCTTTGTCCTTTAATATACATAACTGTATTTAATATATGTGATCATGTACATATTATTAGCATTAAATGCAAAGTGGTTACCAACTAAGTATTCATGTGGTCAGACAATAACATTAAATATGACTTAATCATGTAAGAGGTGAATTGAAATTAACTGATGTGTGATAGTTACATAAGCTATGACTCTGAAGGCAATCTTTGCTTTCTCCAAATATATGCTGCCTAATTCTGGCAGACATCTGCCTCTTTAATTAACAGTGCATACCCTCTCTCCTTCTCAGAGCTGATCTCTTCTACACTATGCTGTTCCTACTCTCTGCTCCCTGTTCCTAATTTATCTATTCTAACAACCTGTTGACTTGCAGATGGTGAGGCAGGACACTCCCTGCCTTAGGCCTGTGCACAGTCAGAACTCTCTCTATATCATTTTCAGCTGTAAATGACCCTTGGCCTATCCAAGATTCTGTCCATGCTTTAAGGGAACATACAAACTTCCAAGAGTTTGGAGAGCAATTAAATGGGAAAGACACAGTAACAGATTTGCAAAACAATAGTCTGTTAAGAATAAAACCTCATTTAAAAACATCAGTCTCCACACGTCAACAGAAATATGTAAGAAAAAAAT